ACTGGATACAAACCACCCACCGTTTAAGTCCTGATGCAAGCATACATAACATGCAATTATGGCAGATAAAATAAAATAGAGACACCACTATTTGTAGCAACCAATTTATTGAATCTCTCAGGAAACCTCCAATCACTAACCCATCTCTCTTAGTTCAGCTCTTATACAATTCTCAGTTCTGAACAGGGAGGAAACCTTGTTAAGCTTGAAGCGATGCTGAAATATCTGTGAGAAGCCTCATCAATATTTATTTCCCAAAGTCTAAATGACCTGACCACTAAATAAAGGAAGCCATTTACCATTTTCTAGCAATTGTAGTCTAATTGTGTCTTTAGACTATGGTTTTCTACTACAATATATAGTTTTCTCTGATTTTTGAACTGAGTTAGGAAACACTTCAGGCAGACATACAAGGTGACTAGAAACGTCTCTCTTTCTCTCTCTCTCAATACATACTGTATTTTTTAAAAAATGAAAACTAATACAGAGAAATAATCTCAAAACACGTCACAAATGTTCAAGACCTTTTCCTGCTTTTGCTGTTTCCCTTTCATTATGCAGTCACTGTTTTTGAGAGAGGAAAGCCTGAGAAAGCATTTTTAGTTTAAATACCCAAATGTTATTGCTGGATCTTTTTTCCCCCAGCAATTCAACTCATGGGAATTTTGGTCAAAATATGATGTGAAGGATCACCAGGAATTTTAGATCTGCTCATAACTGTTTGCAAGTTTTTGGATTTTCTCCCTGAAGATCTAAAATTACACAGTGGATGAAATATACTGATTAAGGTGCTAGACCAGAAGAAGCAATGCCTAGTTTAACCTCAGCTAGAAAAACTTACTAGGAATCTTTGAGTCAGCTTCTCTCTCGTAATTTACCTCACAAAGTTGTTGTTTGGCAGAAAAGTAGGGGCTAAATACTACATATGTTGCCTTGAGCTCCTGAATTAAATGTATCATATAAATCAACAGCTTAATGAACAAACAAATAAAATATAAATTCTATCTCTATATTGTATTAATAATTTAAAGTTTAAATCCACAGGGGATTAAAAATAAGAATAAAAATACCAAGCCTTGCTAAAATATGCCTGAGCAACTGGTGACTTCCCAAGACTCCAAATTACTATCACTCCTGATCTTGGATGCCTCCTCTCATCAACATTTACAGCTTTGGCCATTCAGGCCAAGTTAGCCACATGTGGAGGGCTGCCATATGTGGTGAACTTGGTAGGTCCTAAATTATCTATGTCAAGTTGGAATTAAATATTAGATCAGTATGTCAAACTCTAGCTTCGCAGAGTAATTTTAGCTGGCAAATATAATGGGAAATCCCTTCCTGAATCTCTCTTTGAAAGCTTTCAAGTGCCTCATGAACTTTAATTAGGATTCTTACCACTGCTGAGAGACAGCTAGCTATGTATTTAGCTTTTCCACTAATGGTGAGCCTGAGACAGCAAATAGAAGAGTACACCAGAGTACCTTTCAGGTTCTTCTCTGTTCACTATAGTAAAAGGTATAATTATCCAAGATGCAGAGCACACAATATGGCATTGATAAATGAATTCCAGTTATCTGAGTTAACAGGAGCAGGCATAAATTACTGAATATTCAGTCATCAATCACTGTGATATTTTGATAGAAATCCTAAAATAAATTTGTTTTTAAAGAGATCCAGACAAATGGTCAACATTAACCTAGACTGTCTATTTGGTAATTATTCATTTGGACCTCCCTATCGGTAACCAAGTTGGATTTATATTGGCTTCTAAGCTTATGAAATGGCTGGTACACACAAAGCAGCCCCTACTTAATGTGGTCTAACTATTATTAAGTGAATGCATGTTATGCAAAGAAGAGCAACACAGATTGGAAGGCTTTATTGTTGTTTTTTACATCTCTATTAAGATTTTTTTTTTCTTCCATTCAATCATGTCTGATTCTCAGGCTGTCTGGACAAGTCCCTGCAGTTTCCTTGGCAAGGTTTTTCAGAAATAGTTCACCACTGCCTTCTTCCCAGAGCTGAGTACATTCAGGAGTATCTTTATTTATCTATCTTTATTGTAAGGTTATATTAACAGAATTTTGCAAGGCTGAAAGTATTTCTTTCCTCCTTTCCTTTTACTCTCTGGAAAACTAGGGAGGGCTCCTTCTGAGATATTTCCCTCATCCTCCCTCCTTCTATAGACTGAAATATATTTTACACATTGGTTGCCGAGCCTAAAGATCATTTATGCAGTCATTACAGTATGCCTGCTTCCTGTTTAGAGGTAAAAAAGGCATTTCTCCTTGTGATTATTCCCTGTCATTATTTTCTTATACCTCAAGAACCTTCACCAGAATGTCCTAATAACTTCAGTTTTTCCGTTCTTGGCTCTTGTCAACCTTTTATATTTTTTAATTTGAATTTTAGCCTTATCTATTCCTCTGCTAACACCTCTCTCTGTGGTTCTTTCTTTTAGTTTGGCTCAGTCTATGACTGAAATTGTCAGTCAATGACAACAAGGACACCATTTCTAGGCAACATAGATGCAGCCAAGCCACGTATCTGCTCCCTAAAAATAAGGATGAGGAACATCATGGTAGGGGGTTATTGTACTATATAAGATAATGGGATAAACCCTGGATAATGAAAATTAAATAAAAATGATTAAATTTAAAATCAGAATTAAAATGAATATAAAAATTAAAACGTCTATTAGAATGGTGAATTATACTGTCTTTAATTTACAACTGATAATATCACAAAATCAAATTGTAAAATACTTTTTTAAAAAGCCAAGTAAATTTATGGTAGAAAATGTTGGTGCTAGAAAAATGATCTCAGCTTGTAGAGATAAATCATGGGGAAATGATCCTGGGGAGTACAATATTATTATAGATTAATGTTTAACTAACCGTCAATACCATATATTCTACTGTGCTAAGATTTGGCAAAGGCCATATTTTAGGTGTTCTTTGCTACCAATATGAACCTGAAACTGGAATCATTCAATTTCAGGAAGGGAGAGCAACCTCCTTAAAAATATTATTTTTTACTTCATTGCAATTATTATTTTTAAAAAATTAGGAAAATGTAAATAAAGGGAAAGTAAGGGAGTAAAAAGGGAAGATGAAAAAGTGTAGGGGAAAAAGGGAAAAAAGAAAGAAAAGCATTGACTTCCAACGCTTTTCAGTGCTGCAGAATAAGATAATGTACAGCTTTAACTTTTTACCTTTACACAGTAATATATACTAGCCATTTCTATAACAATAAATCTATCTAATTAGCAAAACCTAAACTTAATGTTTCATTTTTTTTACCCCAAGCACAAAGTGCAGAAGTGGTTTCCAAGTGGAAACAAAGTTAGTACTTCCATGCAGAATCTGAAAGAAGGCACTCACTATATCACTTGCAAGACTGATGTCAGCTCTTCAGGGGAGACAAATATAGGAAATAGACTCCAGAGCAGTGGTTCTCAACCTTCCTAATGCCACAACCCTTTAATACAGTTCCTCATGTTGTGGTGACCCCCACCATAAAATTATTTTTGTTGCTACTTCAGTAATTTTGCTACTGTTATGAATCATAATGTAAATATCTGATATGCAGGATGTATTTTCATTGTTACTAATTGAACATAATTAAAGCATAGTGATTAATCACAAAAACAAACTGGGTTTGAAGATAAGCAGTAAGATGGAAAGAAAATTAAGCAATGAAACTGAGAGTTCCTGGATTAGAATTTATTATACCATCACATTAAAAATAAAAGTATTTCCAATCTTGTTGGAAAAACAGTGGATTCACTCCTACTGATAATATTATTTAGATCAGGGCTTTTCAACCTTTTCACCGATTGTACCACTTTTAGAATATGGCAACATTCAAGTACCACCAGTCACCTAGCGAGGTGTCAAAAACTTGACCCCCCAAAAATGGGAAAAAGTGATAAAGTACAGGTAGTCCTTGACTTACAACAGTTTGCTTAGTGACTGTTTAAAGTTACAACGGCACTGAAAAAAGTGACTTATGACCATTTTTCACACTTATGAGCGTTGCAACATCCCCAGGGTCATGTGATTTACATTTCGATGCTTGGCAACTGATTCATATTTATGATGGTCACATTGTTCCAGGATCATGTGATCACCTTTTGCAACCTTCTGACAAGCAAAGTTAGTTGGGAAACCAGATTCACTTAACAACCATGTTACTAATTTAATCTCTCTTCCTCTTTCTCCCTCTCTGACTCCCTCTTTCTTTCTTCCTCTCCCTCTCTCTTTCTCTCTCCCTCTCTCTCCCTTTCTCTTCCCTTCTATTTCTCTTTCTCTCTCTCCCTCTCTCCCTTTCTTTCTCTCTCTCTCTCTCCCTTTCTCTCTCTCTCCCTCTTTCCCTCCCTCTTTCTCTCTCCTTCTCTTTCTCTCTCCCTCTTTCTTTCTCTCTCTATCTCCCTTTCTTTTTCTCTCTCCCTCTCTTTCTCTCTCCCTCTTTCTCTCCCTCTCTCTATTTCTCTCTCCCTCTCTCCCTCCCTCTTTCTCTCTCTCCCTCTCTCTTTCTCTCTCCCTCTCCCTTTCTTTCTTTCCCTCTCTTTCTTTTCCTCTTTCTCTCTCCCTCTTTCCCTTTCTTTCTCTCTCTTTCTTTCCCTCTTTCTCTCTCCCTCTCTTTATTTCTCTCTCCCTCTCTCTTCCTCTCTTTCTTTCTTCCTCTTTGTCTTTCTCTCCCTCCCTCTCTCCCTTTCTCTCTCCCTCTCTATTTCTTTCTCCCTCTCTTTCTCCCTCTTTCTTTCTCTTTCTCCCTCCCTCTCTTCCTCCTTCCCTTCCTCCCTCCCTCCCTCCCTCCCTCCCTCCTTCTCTTTCTCTCCGATTGGTGATCGATTTGGAGGCACGGAGGGGAGGGGAATGGCCAAGGGCTGCCCGTGTGACTTTGAAGTGGCCACCTTTGGAAGCACCAAGGCTGCTCCAGCCAGGCTTGAGCCGGGCAGAGTGGGCAATGGGAGAGGAATGGGTCGATCACCTTACCGGCAGCCAGGACTCCAGTGCGCCTTCCCGGCTAGCGGGGCCTACAGTATCAGGAGCCCCACGAGGGGGCAAGCTGGCATAAAGAGCCAAACCCTTTCTGCAAGGGAGGGACACATTGAGGGAGCCAGCCAATCACAGAATGTAGATTCTGACGGACGGCTGGCCTGAGCCAATGAGGCGCCAGAGGACTGGGAGCCATAGTTGAAGGTTGCAACGCCTTCAGCTGTAACTGCTCACACGTGTTTGTGTGTGTGTGAGTGCGCTGGCCCAGATCAATATTGCTTTCCAGGTGATAGGCGCTTCTTCAGGGCTCAGCAGATGCACCGGGATCAATGCCGCTTTCCAGGAGATTGGTACTTCTTCGGGGCTCAGGAGAAGCACCAGGATCAGCTCTGGAAGAAGTACCAATCAGGCAGAAAGGGGCCAAGCTCTCCCAGCCTCGGAGAAGCACCAATCAGGTGGAAAGGGGCGCTGATCTTGGTGCTTCCCCTGAGCTCTCCCGGTCTAGGAGAAACACCGATCAGGCAGAAAGGGGTGCTGATCCTGGCACTTCCCCTGAGCTCTCCTGGCCTCGGAGAAGCGCTGATCAGGCGGAAAGGGGCTGAGCTCTCCTGGCTTGGAGAAGCACCTATCAGGCAGAAAGGGGCGCTGATCCTGGCGCTTCCCCTGAGCTCTCCCGGCCTCGGATAAGCAATAATCAGGCAGAAAGGGGCACTGATCCTAGCGCTTCCCCTGAGCCTTGCCAGCAGGACGCGCGCCTCTTGGTGTCATATGGTTTTCAATGTTTTGCTTGAAGCAGGGATGGAAAAAGAGAGAAGAGCCCCACTCATCACAAATTGAGAGCAGACAGTTATTGGCATTGCAGCTCAAGGCGCGTGATGAGGGAAAGAATATGATTAACACCACACGCACGTGCGCGCGCACGCACACACACACACACACACACAGCGCTTGTCTTCCACCACATTTTATTCATGTCAATCTTTTTTTTCTTCATAATATTGGGAGTTGAAAATAGCGACTGTACACAAACGCACACACAAACATGCAGGCGGGCACGCCCCCTCTCCTCATTCAGTTTCTTTCCTTGGCTCGTCCACTGCATGTTCCTGAGACGGCGGCGGCAGCTTTGGCAGTGTCTCAGTTCCTAAGACCATCGGAAATATGTGTTTTACGATGGTCTTAGGCAACCCCTGTGAAAGGGTCGTTTGACCCCCAAAGGGGTCGCAACCCACAGGTTGAGAACCGCTGCTCCAGAGGAAGTCTAGAACTATACTGAGATATAGCTTAATAAGAGAATCTGGCATACCTGACTGTGTTTAACTACCATCTTTCTTATATCTTAGAGAACCAGGGAGAAGCCTGCCTGACTTTCTTTGGAATATTATATTGTTTTCAAGGACTTAAGGAATATTTCAGTCCCTTTTGCTTATATAACACTTCTTGCCTATTTTCCTCAAGATCATATATGTCTGCCTTAAAAACATAGCTCATTCTTACCTGTGTATGTCTGACCCTACTCCTACAAATATCTCTGGGATATTTTGCCAATTTTTAAAGCAATACATCATTTTAAGCCATGGCACTCAGCATTTCTTCATATAGGGCTGAAAGAAATGGAATGGTCATGGGAGAATACCAGCTATGATGGTATTAGATTTTGTGTTTTAAATCCAAGAGAAGGTAATAAAAGTGATGGAAAAATAATAGCCACGTATTTATCAGAATAATAAATTTGTTCATTTGGAAACATGGCTCATAAACCTAAACAGATTGGATAGTGAAAAACATACATTTTATATTCATTATGGGAAACAATTTTTGCTTCTAAACAATCCCTGTTATTTCCAATGTATCTTTTTTGGGGGGGGGGGCTTGCTTTCCTCCTTCAAAGACACAAGCAATTGCTTCCCATAGCAGTGACTGTGTATTTGCTCCACTAATCTCTCCTGACAGAGCTTTATTAATTGCCATCTGTCTAAAATGAGCTCTGCAAATGCCTCCGCTCTCCAATTCCTTGGTATCTTCCCAAGTTGAAAGTGTAACATAGTTCATTGTTTCAAAGCCCTGATGTTCTGATACAGGATGCTCATGGCACAGTTCTTATTTGCTGTCAGTACAATGGCAAGAATAATAAGAAGTGGGCTCAGGGAACAAAGGCCAAGAATAGCAAAAGTAATAAAGAAGATTCATGTGTTTAATGTACTTAAGAATTAGGATATATTTGCCTCCAAAGGGCAGAAACTGTACAAACTGTAGCATCTGTAAAACTATTCCAAATATTCCAGTCGGTTGCTTTCTGTCTTAACTCAGTTTATATTTCATATTTCTTCTTCATATTATAAGATTAAAAACTCTAAGGGAATAGATGAAACATTCTTTCATACAAGACTCAGTGGAGCATAATATTTGTATGATTATACAAGTTAAATGGCATTTTTAAAAGTGTTTGGGTTTCCATTTTTTGTGCATGTAAATGTACACTCTGACTTTTGTAGCTGGAAAGCCTTACAGACCTATATAAAGAATTTGATTTTAGTAACTCTGCTAAGTCTGAAATTTTTTTTAAAGTTATATCAATTTTAAACCATCCCCTAAAATTATTAGGCTTCTGCAATGGCAGATTAAGCACAAACTTTTCTATAAGTAATTTCTTTAAAATGATTAAACTTAAGGTCTCAGTCATCTTATTCCATATCTTAAATATGCTGATGTACTGATGTTAGAACAAGGGTCTCCAACCTATGGACACCGGGACTGGCTGAGTGTGTGCACATGTATGTGCACTCCCTTCACTTGCACTAACATCACCATGAAGGAGCTAGCGGCCCATTTGCGCATCCACATTTCCTTGCACCTCCCTTTCCCTCCGGGCTGCCAACCTGGAAAGGTTGGGGAGCTCTGTATTAGGACACACAACCCATATGTGCTACATTAATACATCACCTATAAATCTTGTGAAAATTTCCCTTTTATACAGCATTCCACAAAAATTACTATTATTCTTTATTTTTTAAAGGAAATTGAAGAGCAACATCATCAAAGTTAAGTATTTGAATCCCCTTTATTTCAGGGATCAGGGTCAGGCAGGCCTTTTAATATATTATTGCCTTAATCTGAGTTATGTTCTTTGTTGAAGAGCAAGTATAAGCATGTCATTTGTTCTTCATCCTTGAAGCAAATAATTCTTCATTAAATAAGAACAACACTTTAATAATAATAATAATAATAATAATAATAATAATAATAATAGTAAAGTTGGAAGGGACCTTGGAGGTCATCTAGTCCAACCCCCCGCTCAGGCCAGAAACCCTACACCATTTCAGACAAATGGCTGTCCAGTCTCTTCTTAAAAACTTCCAGTGTTGGAGCATTTACTACTTCTGGAGGCAGGCTGTTCCACTGATTAATTGTTCTCACTGTCAGGAAGTTTCTCCTTAGTACTAGGTTGCTTCTCTCCTTGATTAGTTTCCACCCGTTGCTTCTTGTCCTGCCTTCAGGTGCTTTGGAAAATAGCTTGATTCCCCCTTCTTTATGGCAGCCCCTGAGATATTGGAACACTGCTATCATGTCCCCCCTTGTCCTTCTCTTTGTTAAACTAGATATACCCAATTCTAGCAACCGTTCCTTATATGTTTTAGCCTCCAGTTCCCTAATCATCTGTGTTGCTCTTCTCTGTACTCTTTCTAGAGTCTCAACATCTTTTTTACATCGTGGTCTTTTTAAAGACCAACAAACCGTCTTGGTCCTCCTTCCAAATACTGTAGCCTTTATGTTTAGAAAATTGATTTCTCCCATCATAAACTTTTTATGAATGGCAGTTCTCTCATCAGATGTATAGAGCAATATCTTGCCATACACTCTAAAGAATAACAATAAAAAAGAGGAGAATGCAGAAATTAATGAAAAGTATGTCGAAGATGGCAGCACATGATCAGTAAAACTATTCTGGGAACATCGTTCAGTATTATATAAAAGTTGTGTTTTCATGATCAACCTGACCACAAACTAGACTACCATATTTTTAATCTTATTGCTTGTCTAAGCCTAGCAGGTAGATTTATTTTATGTCATGAACTTTCCTGAGCCATTCCTTTATTTAGTCAGAGCAGGTCCATCAGCTTTTTGGCAAATCCTTTTTTCGGACTAATTGAAAAACCAGTATTCCGATCTTTTTGTCTTATTCTGTTGGTTTTTATTAGTCCTTACTATCACTTTTGTCTTCCATCTTTCTCAGGTGAAACTACCTGTGATAAGCAGTTTTGCTCCAAAGGTTTTACAGTCTCTTATAAAAAGAGAAAGCGATTGCCATCTCATTCTCTTCTCTTGTTTCCTCCATCCACAGGGGAAGTTATTTGGGAGAACTGCGAAGGGACAGGCAGCTCTGCTTTTCCCCCTCAGTTGCTAGCCTTACTTACTACAACCTCTTTCATCTATTTAAAGCCAGACCCTTCCCTCCCTTCAACCTTTTTCATGGACTGGACTTCATTCAGCAGTGTGACTCTTGGCAGAGGTCTATCAGGATCTTCCATTGAGTGCTGTCCCAAGGAGGTTATTGGACCTTATGGAGTTAAATCAAACTCCTTCAGTATGTTTCCTTCTTAGATTGTGGAAGTAGAGTCTTCCTGGACCTTTGAAATTGTCCTGCTGAAAAACGGTTTTAGAGTCTAGAAGTTGATCAACTGTTCCAGGCTCAGACAAAGGTCTAGTATAGTTCAGAATGAATAGCTCCAGAAGCAGATTCTTTATATAGATTGCCCAAACATGTAGAGCACAATTTTCCTTAAAGTGTGCAGTTCAATCTCATTGAGGTGGGTAGGTGGGATAAATGATAAGCCTGGAACTAGAAAATTCACAGTTTAATTATGTATAACTTTTGTAAATTGAGCTGAGAAAAACTATTTAAAATGCTGCTGATGAATAATCAAATAACTAAATAAATATATTTGGATTCCAGATTTCTCTCCCAGGGTTGTTGAGAAAAAATATAAGTTTGTATTTTTTATCTTTTGTGAAGGAAAGAAAGCCATCTCAATAGTGCTAAAATGCAATGTCTATCAGTGCACTGGATTGATAGGTGTACTTGCCATTAAACATTTGAAATAGTTCATTATTCGAAACTATTTGAAAAATCTAAATTTTACCCAACATTGTAACTTGGTGATTCTTGCTTGGATCTGTAGATTTCATTTCTGCAAAGACGAATCTCTTAAATAGTAAGCCAACTGGCATACTTGATTTGCATAATATAGTTTTTAATCATTCAATTATTATCCAGATTTCTTTATATAAGTCTTTCATGTAGAGGTAGTCCTCAGGTTATAACCATTTGTTTCACATCTGTGTAGTTATAACTGCCTCAGAAAGGGTGCTTTACATCTCATAAAACATTTCTGGCCATTGTAAAATATCATGCCACTCCCCCTGTGGTCATGACTGGATTTTGGGCTCTTGGCAACTAGCTCATATTTAAAATGATTGCAGCATCCTGCAGTTATGTGACAGCACTTTGAAATGCTTTTTATCAGTTTTTGGCATTTCAGCATTTTGGCAAAAAATGCCCATTTGGGGAATGGTTTCAGGCTTACAACCATGTGATTCACTTTACAACTGCTGTAAAAATGGTTGCAAAATCGAGTCTGGTCATAACAAGTTTTATTTATTTATTTTTTCC